AGGAGAGATTTTTTTAAAAAAAGAATTATTTATTCATTTATTTAATTCCATTTGTTATCATTATTATTTTTTTAATTTTACCAAATAGAGACAGAGAGAAAGAGAAAGGGAAAATGAGAAAGCAAGCCGCCAAGTCTGGGACTTGAACCACAGTCGACCATGTGGGAGTCCAGCGCCTTTAACCACCACCACTACCTGCCAGGATGGATTTAGGGTTGATTGGGTGCCAATTGCATGCTGGAGCACTCTGCATACATTATACATTTATCTTCAAGTTCAATCCCAATTTACAACTAAGGCAACAAGGCTCAGAGAGGGTGGACACTCAGAGTTTGAGCCTGAAAAAAGTATTTGAATCTTGTCTATTCTGATGTAAATTTTTTTAGAAAAAAGAAATGTTTATATTGTAAAAATAGGATATTAACTTTTTAATGTATGCATGTAGCTACTCATGGAGAAGACCATTCTTTTTTCATGAACCAATGTCTTGAATTATATTAGTGGATTTTCTATATCATATCATCCATACATTCTTAGAAAAAATATTTGATAACAGTAGATTTAGATTTTTGAAATATGTTGCTGGAATATATTGCCAATATTTAATTTCAAATTATTGCAAAAATATTCATCTTAGTCCTTTATTTTATTTTGTTACTAGTCCAACTTTGTTTTTCATGTTATTCTGGGTTCAGTAAAAACTTTCATTATGTGTATTCCACCAAAGAAAACAAAGTTCAAGTCTGTCTGCTCTCAAAGGCCATGCTTATTTCACTGTGTCACAGGGGTACCCATGCCTCCCAGACCCTGCTTTCCAGCTCTGACCTTCTTCTGCACTCTAGACCCAAATAACCGAGTTCTCCCAGGCCTTACCCATAACAAACCGCAGCTCATTCAAGATGGTCCAAGCTGGCTCTTCACCCTCCCTCATCCAGCTGTTTCTCCTCCAAGGTCACTTGGTGAAAACATCAACACTTACCATTCACTCACGTCTGATAAAGTAAGCACCACCATAAAGCATCCTTTCCTCTTTCACCACAAGGCCAAGAAGTCACTGAATCTCACCATGAGCCCCCTTCCCATGTCTGTCTGTCCATTCTCAGGTCTGCTTTCCCAGCCCAAGCCTGGCCATGACCACGTGAGCTTAGTGCACTCACTCCAGGCCCCAGCCTCAGCCTCCCTGCCCTGCCCTGCCCTGCCACTCTACAGCTCTTTCTAGAGGGTGAATCTGACCTCATCACTCCTTATCACAGCATAATAATGCCTATTATGAGTCTATATCCTCACAGGAATATACTTCTTACCAGGGCCACCAAGCCCGGCACGAATCAGTCCCCACATGGGCTGCCCACGACACACACGTGCACCTTTCACTAAGACTCACACCCGTCACTACCGACATTCTGAGTAATTACACTGCTGTTCCTTGACAACAGATGAGCTGAGGACAGCTGGTATCCTTAGCAACTGAGGTCTCTCTGACCCACCGGCTTTCCAATAAAAATATGTCCTAAATTCCAGGTCGAGTGCAGCTCATCTTGGATTCGGACAGTACAATCACCCTCAGATGACAGTCACTTACATTTATGATACTGACAGACCATGCCCCATTAATCCCAGGGGGTAAAGATGGCCTGTGAAGGTCTCAGAAGACCCCCAGGCTTGTAAACCAGGATGACATAAATTTGTGTCCCAATGAGATAACCTACTGCTTCCACGACTGTAATGGTTTTTAAATATGTCAGCACACTCTTTGACACTTCCCTTCAAAGGTTGGGACTTAATTCTCTCTTTGCGTATCAGTGGAGTAAGTGGAAGCCTGTGACTTCCAAGATAGGTCATAAAAGGCATTTCAGTTTCATCTTTGCTCTCTGTCTCAGCTCACTCACTCTGGAGAAAGACAGCTGCCATGTTAGGAAACTCAAGCAACCCTGAGGAGAGGAGCCTGCGGTGGGTGCTGAGGCCTCTTGCCAACAGCCATGTGAGTGAGCCATCCTGGAAGTAGACGCTCAGCTCCATCAGACCTGCAACGCCTGCAAGACCAGCCAACATCCTGCTGACAATGTCAGGAGAGACCTCGGCCCAGAACCCTCGAATATACTCTCAGATTCCTGACCCAGAGGAACTGAGATAATGTTGTAAGCTGCTAAGTTGTGGAGTAATTCATCACACAGCAATGGTCGACTACACAGTATCCTAGAGAAAAACCACTTAACCTTACGAGGCCTCCATTCCTCGTCTGTAAGATGAAGTTAGTAAGAACATGTATATAGCAGTATTGAAAAGATTAAAGGTCAATGAATTAGGAAACAGTACAGTGCTTGGCATGTAGCAAACATTGAACAATTTTTGTTATTATTTATTATAAATGGCTTATTTTTCATTTCCAAAGACTCCAGTCAGACTAAAACCAACGGGCTGGCCACCTACCCAAACTAGTGTTCCCAGCTTATTATGTCTACCACATGAAGCCCAGAAACAGGGTCACAGGGAGCCATTGCCATTACTTAGTGGAGAACAACTTTCAGCATAACGATCCCCAGCAGTTTCCAAGAGAACGGTGCTTTCCTAGTAACGGCAACGATGAAGTATTCACAGGCAGCCACCACCAA